ATCCACCGAATGCCTCGCTGGCAAAGTGCCGCACTGCGTCCCTCCGCCCATTTAGGGACACCCCTCGCCTCAAACATTCCGTGGTCCCGCGGGTGGCTAGCTGGTCTGATTGGCGTCAGCAGTTAAACTTCTTGTCCCTCGAAGCATAATAAGGCGCTGGGGTTTCCAGGCCCTACACGCCCCGACGCGACCCCGAGTCGCCAGAAAATACCTCCAGATCGCCCACCACGCTCCAAAGGCGTTCCACGCAGGCTTCTAGACGGCCCAGAAAGCCTCCAAGGCGTTCCAAGAAGGTTCCACGACGCCCCCTAAAAAGAGCGATGCTGCGATGCTGCCTGCCGCGGAGCTCCACTCTTCTTGTTCATAACAGAACGTGCCAGGGATGCATCGGCCAGCGCTGCACATGAGTTGCTACCTTGGGCTGCAGCCCGCTGGAAATTGCTGCATGAAGGGCAGCCCCCAAAAGGCACCGAATCGCTAAAACATCACCGCCAGACGCTCATCAAGCCCTCCAGGTGGCCCCACCACTGACGACGACGACGACGACGACGACGACGACGACGACGACGCGTGAAAGAAGCATAGTCGGGCGGGCATGCAGAACATGGGATGCAACTGGCACTCGATGGGACGGCGTGGAGGATCGGCAGGAGTGTCTCAGGGCGTCTGGGGGGGGAACTTCTGGGGGCCTCTTGGGGGCCTCCTGGGGCTTCCTGGGGGCCTCTTGGGGACTTCTTGAAGCCTCTCGGAGGCCTCTTGGGAGCCGCTTGGGACTCTTGGGGGCCTTAAGGAGCGGACAGCTCGAAATGTCTGTTCGTGTTCTCCATCTGGGGTCCCTCTTGACGCGTTCTTTGGTCCGTCTTGGGTTGCCTTGGAAGCCCCTGCGGCTTTATGGGGGGCCTCTTGGGCCGTATCAGTGGCCTCTTGGGGGCTTCCGGGACCGCTTTGGAGCGTCGGGAAGCCGAAAAGGCAGACACCCGAAAATGCATTTAAAACCTATGGAAAATCACTGATGTTTGCCTCTTGGGGCAATTTTGGGAGTGCTCTTGGAAACCCCTTGGGCCGTGTTGGAAGGCTTTGGGGCCGTCTCGAGGCCATCTTGAGCGAGTTAGAGCGATATTCTGGATGTTCTGAGCCCTCTTGAAGGCCTCTTGGTGCCCTGTTCATATGTTTGGGGGCTGTCTTGGGCCCTCTGGGGGCCCCCTCCTGGGTCCCCCCGCCTCGGGGGGGCTCTTGGGGGCCTTGTGGAGCGTCCTAGTGGCTTTTAGTGGGCCTCTTTGGGCCTCTCTGGGGTCTCTAGGAGACCTCTCGGGGCCTCTTGGAAAGCCTTTTGGGGGCCCCTTGGGTACTCCTGGGGACCTCTAGGGGCGTAGAGCTTTAAATGTCCGTTCGGTAACCCCCTTCCGGGCCCCTTCTTGAAGCGTCCTGGGGCCCTCTTCGGCCGTCTGTGCGACCTCTTGGTGTGAAATCCCAAGAAGCGAATATAAGGTAATTTCTGGAGGGAAGGGGGCAGTTTTGCCTTTTGGGGCTCTCTTAGGAGGCCTCGTGGGGGCCACTTGGGGCGTCTTGGGGGCTTCTTGGCGGTGTTGGAAGCATCTCTGAAGCCATCTTGAGCCACCTTGGCAGTCTTGGAGGGCATCTGACTCGTCGTGGAGCGGGGACGGAAGCTCCTGGAGGCCCTGGACTGCCATGGAGGAATGAGCCTGGCCCCCCCCCCTGGGCCTGGGACGCCGTTTCTTTTGTTTGTTTGATTGTTTGTTTCTCTCTTTCTTTTTTTTTCTCTCTCTCTCTCTCTCTCTCTCTCTCTCTCTATCTATCTATCTTTCTCTCTCTCTCTCTCTCGCTCTCTCGTTTTCTCTCTCTCTCTCTCTCCCTCTCTCTCTATATTTATATATATATATATGTTTATAATGTGTATATATATGTGTGCGTGTGAGAGAGAGAGTATGTGCATATATGTGTTGGACAGAGGGAGGGGTACATATATGTTTTGTGTACACACTAACATGTATCTATGTTTGTGAATGTAGAGAGGAGTATATACATATGTACGTATGTATAAATAGAAAGAGATATATACATGCATGTATATACATATATATATATACATGAACATCTATGTGTACATATATACATATTTATGTGCACATGGTTCTCTCTCTCTCTCTCTCTCTCTCTCTCTCTATCTATGTCAGAGTGCGGGGGCCGAACGGTCATCCATTGTCCCTGGGTGCGTGGCTGAAGTGGGGATCCGTAATGAAAATTGCGTTTGTTGCGTTGTTGTTGTTGCTGTTGTTGCTGCTCTTGTTGTCGCTGCTGTTGTTGTTTCTGTTGTTGTTGTTGTTGTTGCTTGCAGTCGTCGTCGTCCCCGCGACGCAGCCGACCCACCCGCGACCAACCCGCGACCCACCCGCGACCCATCCCGCGATCCGCTGGCGACACACCCGTGACCCACCCGCGACCCACCCGCGACACGGCCCGCGACCCACCTGCGACCCCTTCGCGACCCATCCCGCGACCCGCCCGCGACCCAGCCGCGACCCACCCGCGACCCAGCTGCGACCCACCCGCGACCCGACCCGCGACCCGACACGCGACTCACTCGCGACCGACCTGCGACCCACCCCGCGACGCACCAACATTGCTTTGCGGCGGGCTCGTTGCATAATGTGTAAGACATTGGCGTCTGCGGCGGGCTTCTTCAGAGCCTCGCAGACTGCCGACGTCCCCGCCGCCTCCTCACTCTTATCCGCAACTGCGGGGCGCATATTTATAAATACAGCTATACACATATATATATATATATATATAAATATATATAAATATATATATACATGTATATGTGAATATGCCGATTTGTCTATATATATATATATATGTATATATATATACATATATATATATATATATATGCATATATATGTGTATATATACACACAAGGCTGCATTGGCGCTTCGCGCCATGCACCTTGTTCTTTGAAGACTTGGAATCGTTGGCCCGTGGTGCCATCCTTTTTTCCATCTTAGCCGCGATCCGCTGGTTCGTACTTCGGAGAAGCGCAGGAAGAGCAGAAAGGGGGGCATTCAACCTGGGACGGGCCGAAACTGCGAGTTGGAGGCCGCGGGCGCATGGAATGGCGCATATGAGTGGGGGCCGCGCGGGAAACAACTGGAATCCCGGGTTCGCAACCGAATTTCCCGAAAATTGGTTGCGAACCCGGGATTATGAGCAGAATGCGGTCATCTTCAAGGAATATCAGATGAAGGGGGCGCGGGGCGGCGGAGTGGTGCGATTTGGAAGGCGGCGGGTTTGACGGGCAGGGCGTTGGTCGGCTTGGCTCTCACGAGCCGTCGGGACCCCCTTTTGAAGGCCGCTGGGCCGCCCTGGGGCGCTGAAGCCCTTCGAGTAGGTTCGCGGGGGTTCTCCCGGAGCCGTGTGGAGCGGTCCTCCTCCTCCTCCTCCTCCTCCTCCTCCTCCTCCTCCTCCTCCTTCTCCTCCTCCTCCGCTTAAGCCAATGGAAAATTAATGATTTGGAAGTTTTTGGAGCTTCGCCAGAGCTTCCCAGGGAGCCTCCTGAAGCTCTGTGGAGCTCTCTTGGGGCCTCCTTGGGCCCTTTCGGGGCGGGAGGCTCGTATTTTCAGTTATCTGGTCCTCCCTAGGGCCCTTCGTTGGGCCGTCTCGGAGCGTTCGTGGGCCGTCTTGGACCGTCTTGGGGCGCGTCTTGGACCGTCTTGGGGCTTTTCAGGACGCTCTGGGAGCCCCTTGGGCCGTTGTGGAGCGGTTTGGGGGGCTTCTTGGGCGGTCTGGGAACGTGGGAAACTCGAAAAATCGAGGACGCTGAAAACATTTAAAAAACGAATGAGAAAGTAACATTTTTGAATGTTTTTGGAGCCTCACCGAAACGTCTTAGGGGGCCTCCCGAGGCCCTTTGGAGCTCTCTTGGGGTTTCCTTGGGCTCTTTCGGGGCAGGAGGCTCGTATTTTCAGATCGTGGTCCCCCCTAAGGCTCCTCTTTGGGCCGTCTTGGAACGTTCGTGGGCCATCTCGGACGCGTCTTGGGCCGTCTTGGGGCTTTCTCAGAGCGCTCTGGGAGCCTCTTGGGCCGTTGTGGGGCGGTTTGGGGAGCTTCTTGGGCGGTCTTGGAGCGTCGGACACCCGAAAAAGCGAGGACGCTGAAAACATTGAAAAACCATGGAAAAGTAACAATGTGGGATGTTTTTGGAGCCTCACCGGAGCTACTTAGGGGTCTTCCCGAGGCCCTGTGGTCTTCCCGAGGCCCTGTGGAGTTCTCTTGGGGTTTTCTTGGGCCTTCTCGGGGCGGGAGGCTCGTATTTTCAGTTCGTGGTCCCCCCTGGGGCCCCTTTTTGGGCCGTCTTGGAGCGTTCGTGGGCCATCTCGGGCGCGTCTTGGACCGTCTTGGGGCGCCCTCAGCGCGCTCTTGGAGTTTCTTCGGCCGTCTTGGAACGGTTTTGGGAGCTTCTTGGGCGGTCTGGGAGCGTCGGAAACCTAAAAAAGCGATGACAAACATTGAGAAACCAATGGAAATTCAACGATTTTGTTCTCTCGGGCCCCCTTTGAGAACGGTCTTGGGGCTCTCGCGGAGGGTCTTCAAGGCTACCCGGGTGCTACCCTGGACTGTCTTGGGTGTCTCTGCGGGCTTGCGCCGACCGATTTGGCACTGCCGCTCGCCTGCGTGCACGCCTTGGAAAGGATTTTCGGCCACCCCCGTGGCACGGATCCGGGGTGTCCCCTTTCGGGGGGGGGGGGGGTCCGCACCCCCGGAATGATAAAAATATAAAAAAGGGCATGTGTGTGTCTCTGTATCTACATAGATAATGTGTAAAATATAAAATATGTGTATATATATATATATATATATATATATAATATATATATATATACATATATGTCGACATACGTATGCATACATACATATTTATACTTAGCCGCGCCCGCTTCTCATTGCGTTCGCCAATGCTCTGTGCATTGCGCAGGCGTCCTCAGATCGCGGCGTTGCGCGCGACGAAGTCATTGGACGCGGCCAGGCCCCGCATCACGCTGGCCATCGCGCCGCCGACGTTGACGTAGAAGACGTACTCGTCCATCTCTGCCTCGCTCAGGTGGAGGTGGCCGCAACGCTTGCGTGACCATCCCTTGGCGCGAGCGTTCTCCGACTCCACGTCGTTGGTGTGGAACCCAGTCTTCTTGTCCCTGTACTGGTTGCCCTCGTGAACCACCGCGGGGGGGCTCTCGAAACCTAGTTTCCCCAGGGCTGAACGCGCTGAGGCCGACGGGGCGTCGGCCTTGCGCGGCAGGAGCTTGTGCGTCACCCTCTTCCTGAGGTCCTGGCGCGTGTAGACGTCGGACTTGTTGCCCACGAGTACGGCGATCCAGAGCCAGCGGCCGTTGCTCTTCAAGTTGGCGGCGGGCCTCTTACGAATGGCTACGTTCTTCCGCGGGGGGGCCCTCTTCATCGGCTTCTTCATCGGCCTCTTCATCGGCCCCTTCATCGGCCCCTTCATCGGCTTGCTCTTGAGCTTGAAGGAGCCCTTTCTGCACTTGCTGGGTGTTGTAGACCGTCCGCGCTGGCAATCGCTTCAGGATCTGCTTCCGCACCAGCTTGGTGGTCCTGCGCGGCCCTGCGCGCGCCGTAGTGGCCCCGCCTTTGTTCACGCTCCTGGATTCGAGCACCCATCCGTCCGCCTTATCGACGCCGATCACCGTCTCGTCGACGACCACGGTGTCCCCCTTCTTGCCGCCGACCATGAGGGCGTCCAACGCAGGCAGCGCTTTCCCCGGGCATTCCTGGTAGAGCTGCTTCCAAACGGAGATCGTGCCCCTGTGAATGTTGCCGAACAGGTCGGCCATCTCGTCTTGGGCGTCCTTGAGGTTGCGCCCCAAGCGGAGGTTGTTGATCAAGTACAGGAAAGGCATCCACGAGTTCACAGGAACCTTCGTGAGGAAGCCGCGCGAGTTCACAGGTTCGCAGAAGTGCTTGTGCCCGACGGTCTTGCACGACCAGCGGTAGGTGTTCCACTCGCGGTCGGCGCGGGCTTCGAACTTCGTCGGCCCGCCGCACTCGGCGCACCCGCTAGGCCGAGCAGCGACGCCGTAGTGGAGGAATATGGCAATCGCGCGCAGGCTGCGGCACATTGCCATCAAGAACGCGCGCCCGAGCGGTGTCTTGCCGACGCTGGGCTCCCCAACGAGGACAAGCGAGTGGTTGCTGCTGATGAGATCCGCCATGGCATTGAGAACGAGAAGGTTGAAGTGCTCATCGCAAAGGGTCACGATGTTACTGAACTCCTTCTTCGCCAGAGCGCCCTCCGCCGCCAAGGAGCGCAAGGACTTCTCAACGAGGCCGATGGGCCATCCGTGGAGGGGCACCCCTGCCCTCATTGCGATCGTCTGCCAGCGCGCCTGCTGCAAGCCCACCGTGGACTTCGGGGCCTCGTTGATGATGTAGTCGAAGCCAGCGTTGATCTCATCGTCGCTCTTCTCATAAAAAGCGTTCTGGGTGGCCTTCGCCTTGGCTTCGGGCGAGAGGAAGAATTGGCGAAACTGTTTGCCGCCAAAGGCTTCAAACACGCATTGCCAGACCTTCGCGCCGATCTTCGGGTGCACGAAAACCAGCCTCCGCGGCGCCCCATAGGCCAACTCCTTGAAGGGCGCGAACTTCATCTTACGTTCGGGGCTCTTAAGGACGATGTGCTTGAGGATTGTTTCGGCGCCGTCCTGGCCGTCCAAAATAGCGAGCTGGAGCTGAGTTTCTGGCGGGGGCGGGCTCTTGAAACCGCACGGCGCTGGGAGGCCGCTCCAGTCGTTGTTCTCGGACGCTTTCTTGTAGAGTGCATCCAAGTTGGCTGGGGCGGCATCCGCGTGGTTCACAACTAAGTCGATGTAGTGTGCCAAAGCGTTGTCCTGCGGCGTCACTTCCTTGGTGAACTCGTCCAGGATGTCAGCCGTGATCCTCGTGGGAGTTGTCGGGGTGACCAGCGGCGCCGAGAGTGCGCGCAAGAAGTACCCCTCGACGCGCTCCTTGATGCCCTCGTACATGGCCATAGCGAGTCGAGGCGGCGCGGCGGGCGGCCGAGACGCGGCGAGAGCTTTGCGGTCGAGCCCAAACAGCTACGAGCTAATGCCGTTCGCTCCTCTCGGCGTAGCTCCGCGCCCGCCACGGAGGGGCATCCGTTTTTTGGGATGCCCCTCCAGAGCAGCGCCGTGGAAGCGCTTTGCAGTGTTGAAATCTTGGTTTGTGGTGCGGTATCATCACTGATGCTGGGCCGTTGCTGGTGTCGTTGCGTAACAAGTGTGCGACCATGTGGCCTTGTGTTCGGGCACAATGATGGGAACCCGTTTTTTGGGTTCCCTCCTGGGTCCGCGTCCGCCACAGAGGGGCATCCGTTTTTGGATGCCCCTCCAGAGTAGCGCCGTGGAAGCGCTTTGCAGTGTCGAAGACTTGGTTTGTGGTGTGGTGTCATCACTGATGCTGAGCCGTTGCTGGTGTCGTTGCGTAACAAGCGTGCGGCCATGTGGCCTTGTGTTCGAGCACAGTGATGGGAACCCGTTTTTGGGTTCCCTCCTGGGTCCGCGTCCGCCACGGAGGGGCATCCGTTTTTCGGATGCCCTCCAGAATAACGCCATGGAAGCGCTTTGCAGTGTTGAAATCTTGGTTTGTGGTGTGGTATCATCACTGATGCTGGGCCGTTGCTGGTGTCGTTGCGTAACATGCGTGCGACCATGTGGCCTTGTGTTCGGGCACAATGATGGGAACCCGTTTTTGGGGTTCCCTCCTGGGTCCGCGTCCGCCACAGAGGGGCATCCGTTTTTGGATGCCCCTCCAGAGTAGCGCCGTGGAAGCGCTTTGCAGTGTCGAAGACTTGGTTTGTGGTGTGGTGTCATCACTGATGCTGGGCCGTTGCTGGTGTCGTTGCGTAACAAGCGTGCGGCCATGTGGCCTTGTGTTCGAGCACAATGATGGGAACCCGTTCTTTGGGTTCCCTCCTGGGTCCGCGTCCGCCACGGAGGGGCATCCGTTTTTCGGATGCCCTCCAGAGTAACGCCATGGAAACGCTTTGCAGTGTCGAAGTTTTGGTTTGTTGTGTGGTATCACCACTGATGCTGAGCCGTTGCTGGTGTCCTTGCGTAACAGGCGTGCAACCATGTGGCCTTGTGTTCGGGCACAGTGATGGTAACCTGTTTTTTGGGTTCCCTCCTGGGTCCCTTCCTGGGTTCCCTCCTGGGTCCCCTCCTGGGTTCCTTCTTGGGTCCCCTCCTGGGTTCTCTCCTGGGTACCCTCGTGGGTTCCCTCCTGGGTCCCTTCCTGGGTTCCCTCCTGGGTCTCCTCCTGGGTCCCTTGCTGGGTTCCCTTTTGGGTCCCCTCCTGGGTTCCTTCTTGGGTCCCCTCCTGGGTTCCCTCCTGGGTACCCTCGTGGGTTCCCTCCTGGGTCCCTTCCTGGGTTCCCTCCTGGGTCTCCTCCTGGGTCCCTTGCTGGGTTCCCTTTTGGGTCCTCTGCAGGAGCGTCTCTGGGACATCTCTGGGGCCTCCCTGGTGCCTCTCTGGTGCCTCCAGGGGTGTCCTGGGGCCTCCTGGGAGCGTCCGGAGCCGTCCGCCCCCCACGGGGGCCTGGCGGAGAGGGGTGAAAAACCAAAGAAACCTAAGGAAAAACCCAAAAAAAAAAAACAAAGAAATCAAAGGCAGACCACCGAAAAAACAAAAAAAACCTAAGGAAAAACCAAAAAAAACAAAAAAACAAATATTTCAGTGCTTCGTCCACCCCCGCGCCCCCAAGAGAACGTATTGAAATCTTTGTTTTTTTGTTTTTTGGGTTTTTCCTTAGGTTTTTTTGTTTTTTCGGTGGTCTGCCTTTGATTTCTTTGTTTTTTTTTGTTTTTCCTTAGGTTTTTTTGTTTTTCCTTGCCGTTGTTGTTTTTCGCTCGCCCCTTGCCTGGATGCCACGGATGCAGACTCTCTTCAGAACAATGGCAAGACAGAGGAGGAAGACGACGACGACGACGACGAGGACGACGACGAGGGTTTCCTATGGTTTTGCTTGATTCCGCCTTCTATAGGGGAATCTGATTGGGAGGAGGAGGAGGAGGAGGAGAAGGAGGAGGAGGAGGAGCAGGAGGAGGACGAGGAGGAAGAGGACCCTGGACAATCGGCCCCCTCTGCTCAGTTTGTCAGGGGGGCGGGGATACGGCAGGACCCATATATATATATATATATATATATATATGTATATATATGTGTTTATATATGTATCGATCGATCGATCGATCTATCGATCTATCTATCTATCTATCTCTCTGTATATATATACACATATATATATATAAATAAATAAATAAATAAATAAATGTGTGGGGCTTCATGGAAGCCTCCTGGGGACTTCTTGGGACCTCTTGGGCACCTCTTGGGAGCCGCTGGGGGCCTCTTGGGGGCCTCCAGGGGCGGAGAGCTCGAAATGTTGGTTGGTGTTCCCCCTCGAAGTTTTACCTCAAGGCGTTCTTGGGGCGCTCTTGGGCGGCGGTGGAGGCCTCTTGGGCCGTCTGGGGGGCCTCTTAGGTCGTCTCGGCGTCTTCGTGGGGGCCTGTTGGGGCGATGTCCGGGGCTTCCGGGACCGTCTTGGAGCGTCGGGAAGGTGAACAGGCAGAAACGCGAGCATACATCAAAAACCTTAGGATAATCACTGATGTTTGCCTCTTGTGGCCCTTTTGGGAGAGCTCTTGGAGACGCCTTGGGCCGTGTTGGTCGCCTTTAGGGCCATCTTGGAGCCATCTTGGGCGCGTTGGAGCGATATATCGGTGACTGTAGCCCTCTTGGAGGCCTCTCGCGGCCCTTTTCATCTGTGTTGGGGATGTCTTGGGCCGTCTGGGGGCGTCCCTGGGTCGTCTCGGCGATCTCGTGGGGGCCTGTCGTGACGATATCTGGGTGTCCGGGACCATCTTGGAGCGTCGGGAAACTGAACAGGCAGAAACGCTTAAATGCACCAAAAACCGGAGTAAAAATCAATGATGTTGGCTTCTTGGAACCCTTTTGGGAGTGCTCCTGGAGACCCCTTGGGCCGTGTTGCAAGCCTCTTGGGCAATCTGGAAGCCATCCAGGGCACGTTCGAGCGATACGTCCGCGTTTCGAAACCTCTTGGAGCCCTCTCGCGGCCCTTTTCATCTGTGTTGCGGCTGTCTCCTGGGCCGTCTGGGCGCGTCTGGGCCGTCTCGGCGCCCTCGTGGGAGCCTGTTTGGACGCGGTTTAAATGTCCCGGACTGTCTTGGAGCGTCGGGACGGCACAACAGGCAGAAACGTTAAAATGCACCAAAAACCTAAGGAAAATCAATGATGTTGGCTCCTTGGGGCCCTTTTGGGCGTGCTCTTGGAGACCCCTTGGGCCGTGTTGGAAACCTTTTGGGCCATCTGAAGGCATTGTTGGGCGTGTGAGAGCGATATTTCCGTGACTGCAGCCCTCTTGGAGGCCTCTTGGGGCCGTTTTCATGTGTTTGGGGGATGTCTTGGGCCGTCTGGGGGCGTCGCTGACGGCCCGGAGCCCCCATGCGCTGTCAGGGTCCCTTTTTGAGAGGACATACATACAGACATGCGTACAGGTATACATACATACGCACGTGCGTACGTACAGACGTACAGACGTACGTACGTACATACGTACATACGTACAGACGTACAGACGTACATATACACATATATATATATATATACATACATACATACATACATACATACATACATGCATGCATGCATGCATGCATGCATGCATACATACATACACACATACATACATACATACATACATACATACATACATACATACATACATACATGCATGCATGCATGCATGCATACATGCATGCATGCATGCATGCATGCATGCATGCATGCATGCATGCAGACAGACAGACAGACAGACAGACAGACAGACAGACAGACAGACAGACAGACAGACAGACAGACAGACAGACAGACAGACAGACAGACAGACGTGTGCAGATATCCCCCCACCGTGCCGCTGGGCACGGGCTGGGCGCGCCCTCGGGTGCTGTGCCCAATCCCCCCGGGCCTCGGCCCTCGATCCGCACGGGGCCCCGAACTCCCCCAGGAGCCCCCTCGGGCCTGGCGCGTGCCCCCCTATGGGGGCTCCAGCGGCTCCTCGCGCCACTGCTTCCGGCCACGGGAGGCCCCCGGGACGGACCGGGAGGGCCTCGAGAGGCTTTGGAGGCCCCGTGGGGAGGAGGAGGAGGAGGAGGAGGAGGAGGAGGAGGAGGAGGAGGAGGAGGAGGAGGAGGAGGAGGAGGGGTGCGCCGAGGAGCTCGTCCGCCCACCTCGCCCCCTCCCCAGCCCCTTGGGACTGGACTTGGGCCCCGGGGGAGGGGGAAAGGGGGAGGGGGACAGCCAGATATCTCACACGCCTTGTCGCCCCCCAGCAAGCGGGGGTCGGCGGACTCGACGGTGAAGACGAGAACGACGACGACGGCCACGACCACGACCACGATTACTTACCCTCCTCCGCCTCGTCCTTCTCCTCTGCCTCCTGATCATCCTCTTTCCCCTCCTTTAGCACCTGTCTTCCTCGATCCTCCTCCTCCTCCTCCCTGATCCTCCTCCTCCTCCTCGGTCCTGGATCTCCTCCCACTCCTCCTCCTCCTCCTCCTCATCCTCCTCCTCCTATTCCTCCTCCTCTTCCTTCTCTTCGCATGTCATCCCACAACTGATTGGGGCAAACCAGACAGGGTCAGATCGCATTGAGGGCAAGTTTCCCTATTGAGAATCCTTTCATCTCGTGATGATCAAATTTTCGGTGGCAACGAAAGGGGGGGATAGGCATAGGGGGGGATGCATCGACCCCCCATTGCCCATTGTTCGCCGATAGAAGCCCGATAGCCCCAATCTGCCCAGGAAGGTGCGGGTTCACTATCGGAGGCCGATCGCCGATCTATCGGCGATGGGTCGATGCATCCCCCCCTACGCCAGTCCCCCCCCACATCGTTGCCCCTCAAACTTGTTGGGCCCGAGTCAGAGTCGACTCGTGTCCTCTTTCTCTTCCTCCTCTATTCCTCCCCGAACGTTCTCTTCAGTCGTCCTCCTTCCCCAGGCTATTTCCTCCTCTCCTCCTACCTCTCTCCCGTCCAGCGTGGTATATATTGCACGGTGGTTGGAAATCTTGGAGGCAATGTGGAAGGTATCGGGATCACCTTGGAGCGGTCTTCGGCCTTCTTGGGGCCGTCTGGGCGGCCCGCCACAATCTTGGGGCCGTCTGGGCCCTCTTGGGCCCATTTTGGGGCTATCTCGGGCTGATTGGAGCCATCTTGAGACTCGCAAGCCAATCGGAAGCGAAAGTATGATAATGCAAACAACATTGATCTCCCTTAGGCGTTTGATGGATGTGGGCTTCTTTGGGGGATCCTGAGGGTGCTCCGAGGGCACTCGGAACCACTTTGGAGCTGACTTGGAGCCTCTCGGAAGTACGTCGGAGGCTATCTTAATCCATCTCCGGCTAGATTGAGCCATCTTCCAGGCAATCTTGGGCTATCTCTAGCGCCCTCTTGGAGCCATCTTGGACCATCTTGGACTCTCCAATCGGTTGCGGGGCGGCCCGTCCAGACCCACTGGTTCTAGCAGGGGGAAAAACAGTTCGTCAAACCACCTACGCCCAGAGGGCTGGGGTGATTCAGGATTATCGGCGAGGCGGGATTCAGGGTTATCGGCGAGGCCTCGGCACGTGCGGAATATCGTATGCATCATGAACCCTGCACCGCACAGCTCACATCACCTATAGCTTACATAACAGAGCTCACACCACGGAGCTTCCACCTCCACCAACCCACCAGCCCACAGGTCCGCGGGTCCACCGGTCCGCCGGTCCACCGGTCCGCCGCTCCACCAGTTTAACCGCCGGTCCGCCGGTCCACAGCCAGTCCGCCGGTCCGCCAGTCCGCCGGTCCACCGGTCCACGGGTCCGCTGGTCCACCGGTCCGCCGCTTCGCCATCCATCCGCCAGTCTGCCGGTCCACCAGTCCACCAGTCCACTGGTCCCTCGGTCCGCCGGTCCGTCCGCTGGTCCACCGGTTCACCAGTCCACCAGTCCGCCAGTCCGCCAGTCCGCAAGTCCACTGGTCTACCGGTCCGCCGGTCAGCCGGTCCACTGGTCATGGTCCAACAGTCCACTGGTGCGCCAGTCCACTTGTCCACCGGTCCGCCGGTCCACTGGTCCGCCGGTCCACCGGTCCGCCGATCCGCCGATCCACCGGTCCACCGATCCACCGGTCCACAGGTCCACTGGTCCACTGGCCCTGACCTTCCAGAGAGCTATTTCTTCGCACTGGAGGCCTAAAAACCTAAAAAACTGGGCGAAACGGCCTAAAACCAAGACGTATAATAGCTTTTGGGTAGGTTTTTAGATCGGGTGTATTTTTAGCCCTCCTGGAAGGTCAGGGGGTCCACCGATCACCAGTCCACCAGTCCACCAGTCCGCGGGCCCACCCGTCGACTGGTCCGCTGGTCCACCAGTCCACTGGTCCACTGGTCCACCAGTCGACCGGTCCGCCGGTCCAATAGTCCACTGGTCCACCGGTCCACTGGTCCACCAGTCCACTGGTCAGAACTATTCCACTATTTCAACAGTCCACTGATCAGAACGCGCAACTGGTTGAAGGTTGGATTAGCGTGGCGGGGCGGATCGCGCACTAAAGATCAATCCGCATCGAATTGAGAAATCGGATCGAGTCGGAATGTGCGTCGCATCGGGCCACATCGGCACTGAGTCGAAAACGAATGGGATCGGCCGCGCCAGGATGCACAACAGCGCAGTGCAAGCATAAGGCCGCATCGGACCGTCGGAGTATCGGAATCGGACCGGATCGAGCCGGCCGGAATCAACATCGAAACGGATGTATCCGAACGAAGTGGACCCTGATCGCGTGGAGGGGGAGCGGGATGGGTCTGCTCGACGCGGGGAGCGGGTGGACTGAATCGAGCTCGTCGCCGCCAGGCGAGTCCATCGGAGATCCAAGGAATCCCCGCGGACCCTCGAAAGTTCATGTTCATGCCATCCCAGACATCCAGCTGCTCCAATTTATTCGATGCGTAGGCCCCGGAGGTTTGGACCACTTCTCTGGGGCCCGTTTCTCGCCCTGTATCGTTTTTTCACGCTCCCAAGACCCGGCGAGGGCCCCCAGAAACCGAAAACGGCCAAAAACCGCCTGCTCCAATTTTTCTGAAGCGTCGGATCTCAGGGATGTTTTCTTATTCGACCCAGGGAGTGGTGGCGGAGCAGGCCGCAGGCCTCTGGATACAGCTTGACATGCAGGCAGGATGGCAAGTTCCCCGTGTCCTCCTTCGGCGGCGCGCCCAGGGGGGAAAGGCATGGGGGGCGGGCCTTCTCAGAAACCTCAGAAGGCGTCCGCCTTTCTGCAAGCCCAGACATGATCGCGTCGTAAAAGAATCACGACGGAAAGTTTTTGGCAATTTTCGGCCTCTGGGGGCCCTCGCCGGGCCTCTGGAGCATCAAAAAACGACTCGAGATGAGAACCCAGTCCCGGGGAAAGGGTCGGGACTTCCAGGGACCCCGTATCGAAAAAATCTGGACGTCGCATGTCTGGGAAGTTATCTCCGAAGCCACAGAGGGCTTCTCAGAAGGCCGGGGAGCTTCTGAGAAGCCCCGCCGCCTTCTGAAAGGGCCTGCGAACTCTCACTTCCCCCCTCGACGCGCTGCGGACTCGTAAGTCGAGACGTCGTTGCGCTCGGAAGGCCAACAGTAGCGTCTGGAGACGCTGGGCACGAAAAAACTTAAAAAGGAGAGGGAATAACCTGCTCTCGAGCCTGCGCAAGGAAAGGCATCATGGGGCAGCACACAGCTTGAGGCCTCTCTGAGCCGAGCTGCACTTTGCATAATTGTACATGCTTGTGTGAGCCGAGTAGCCTCGTGAATCCATCGGCCAGGCCGCGACCTCGGAGACGCGCTAGATCACCGCCACAGGCTCAGGAGAGTACCGTCCCTCACCGACATTGTTGGACTCGGCAGCTTCAACATTGTTGTCTTCGTTTGCAGGCGGATCCCCCACACCAAGCGCGCCCCCATAGCAGCGCATGAAATAGAATAAGAGCACCGCCAGCATCACCAAAACAACAACAGCAGAAATTATGACGATTACGATAATAGTCGAGGACGCCTCCGTCTCCTCCTCCAGTGCCAGCGGGGTCACCACTGCCAGCGTCGTGGATGTATGGGGTCCGGTTGTCGTGGCAGGGATCACGATATTTACCACTGGCTGAGATATCACAACTGATGAAACATCCAGCGTTACACCGACTGCTTCGAAGGCCGCGTCAAGTGCAGACGTAAAAGAGGAAAGTGCATCGCCAGTGCCACTCGCCTGACTGGCAGCAATGTCAACTGCATCATTGACGACATCCTTATTTGCCGTGATCTCAAAATCGACCTGCCATGCAGTCGGATCTGAGCTTGAAAGCTGACGGGTCACGAGACGACGAGACAGCGTGACATCTACAGTCAGTTGGTCCTCTTCCAAGCTGTACTGGTCAAGCAGAACAGCAGTTACCACACTTGCAACCTGCTCCTGCGTGCCTGCAGCATTGAAGGTGATAGAGCTGCTCATCACATAAAGCGGCGTAGTGGTGCTCGTCTGGGTCGTCGTTGCAGCGAAAGTAGTGTCAACAGTAATCGTACTAGTCAAAACGGCAGTGCTGGACATGGTCACGAATGAGGCCGTACTGGTAGTGGAGCCAGTCATGGTAGCACTCGTCGGAATGGTCCCGGTCATATTGATAGTTCCGGTCCCAGAATACTCGATGGTACTTGTACTTGTCTCACTGGTGCTGATGCTGCTGGTGGCAGTGGTCAAGCTAGTGATGCTGGTCACGCCAGTTTGGGACGTTATGGTACTCGTCGGAGAGGTTCCAGTCGCAGTGCTGGTCCCGGTGGTGATGCTGCTCTCAGTGATGGTGGTGGCACTGGCACTGATACTGGACGCACTGATGCTGCTGGTGGCAGTGGTCAAGCTAGTGATGCTGGTCACGCCAGTTTGGGACGTTATGGTACTCGTCGGAGAGGTTCCAGTCGCAGTGCTGGTCCCGGTGGTGATGCTGCTCTCAGTGATGGTGGTGGCACTGGCACTGATACTGGACGCACTGATGCTGCTGGTGGCAGTGGTCAAGCTAGTGGTGCTGGTCACGCCAGTTTGGGACGTTATGGTACTCGTCGGAGAGGTTCCAGTCGCAGTGCTGGTCCCGGTGGTGATGCTGCTCTCAGTGATGGTGGTGGCACTGGCACTGATACTGGACGCACTGATGCTGCTGGTGGCAGTGGTCAAGCTAGTGGTGCTGGTCACGCCAGTTTGGGACGTTATGGAACTCGTCGGAGAGGTTCCAGTCGCAGTGCTGGTCCCGGTGGTGATGCTGCTCTCAGTGATGGTGGTGGTGGTCCTGGTACTGGTACTGGACGCACTGATGCTGATTGTTCCAGTGGTTCTGGTCGAAGTGCTGGTCCCCGAGGTGGTGGTGCTCTTTGTAATGGTGGTCCCAGTACTGGAGCTGGTCGCACTGGTGCTGGTCGCACTGCTAATGCTCGTGACGGTGGTGGTGGTCGCCGTTGTGCTCGTCATGGTGACACTCACGGTTGTCCTGGTTGCAGTAACTATCTTGATTTCAGGCTCTGCAATGTAGAACGAAGATGTCGTTACATTCAGGCCTTGCGATCCAAAGCTTGCTTGCAGACGGTCTGTAAAATTTGCAGTAGCATTTGCAATAGCAGCTGTCATCTCTAAGACCTGCGTCGCATCAGCTATGGGGGCCGTGATCTCAAAAGCGACATCCCACGAGCCGAAGACTGTCCGGCCCAAGGATCCGGAAGCAAGTTCGGCGACATTGACAAGTACCTGCTCCTCAACTACGCCGAAATACTCCATCAAATGAAGCGTCGCCGCATTTGCAACCGCGTCCTGCGTGCCAGTGCTGCCAAATTGCATGGAGCTCAATACAACGTACAGGGGCGTGGTGGTGCTGGTACTGGTCATAGTGGTAGAGCTTACCGTTGTACTGCTCACAGTGGTTGTTGACACGGTTGTGCTGCTCATTGTGGTCGTGGTATCGCTCGTAGTACTCGTGACACTGGTCACGGTGACCGTGGTATTGCTTACAGTGCTTGTACTGCTCATCGTGGTTGTGGTAACAGATGTACTGCTTATAGTGGTCGTGGTATCGCTCGTAGTGACACTGGTCACGGTGACCGTGGTTTTGCTTACAGTGCTTGTACTGGTCATGGAAGCACTGGTCATGCTAAAAGTGGTCATGGTGGCTGTGCTGGTCATGCTAATGCTTGTCAGGGTTGATGTGCTAGTGATGGCGGCTGTGCCAGTCGCGGTGGTGCGTGTTGTCAGGGTGATGGTACTGGTCATGGTGCTTGTCGTGGATGAGGCGGTTGTGTCAGTGGTAGTGCTGGTACTGGTCATAGTAACAGTCGTCAGTGTGGTTGTGCTGGTCCCGGTGATGCTTGTCAGGGTGGCGGTTGTGCTTGTCTTGGAATCAGTACTTGCGTCGGTGGTCATTGAGATTGTGCTGGTCGCGGTAACGCTGGTGAGTGTAGTGCGGCTCGCAGTGGTGGTACTGGTCACACTGAAAGTCGTCATGGTGGTCGTGCTGGTCTCGGTGGTGCTTGTCAGGGTGGCGGTTTTGCTTGTCTTGGAATCAGTACCTGCGTCGGTGGTCAGTGAGATTGTGCTGGTCGCGGTAACGCTGGTGAGTGTAGTGCGGCTCGCCGTGGTGGTACTGGTCACACTGAAAGTCGTCATGGTGGTCGTGCTGGTCCCGGTGGTGCTCGTCAGGGTTACGGTAGCACTGGTCATGGTCAGACTACTGGTCGTGATGTTGTCCGCTCTGGTCCCCTCCGTGCTGGCCACAGTGGCCCTCCCGCTCTGGGCGCTGCCCGTCCCCCGCGGGCCGTGACCCCTCCGCTCAGTTGGGCCTGTAGCGCCCGCGCCCTGCAAGCGGGGCGCCGGAGCGGACCGAGGGGCCTCCTGCAGACGCCCCGACGCCACAGGGGGTGGACTCAGCTCAGGCAGAGGGGTCTGGGAGTGGTGGTGGTGCCCGGTCTCCACGTCGCGCATCCTCGCTGCTGCAGTGTCGCTCGAGGGCACGAGGGGATCTCGAGAGGTCCCCAGCTTCGACCTGGCCGTTGGGCTGAGCAGCACCACGGTAGCAAGGAGCACCAATGCGGAGAGCACTTGAGCTATCCGGGCCATCGCATCGACAAGCCCAACCCGAGCTGCCGTGCTCGGATTTGCCCTGCCTGAGCCACAGTGGCTGCGGCCGGACCGGCGAGGCGAATGAACGGGTGGAGAGCGAGGAGAATCGCAGCGACACCGAAGAGGACGGAAACGGGGGGACGCGTCAATAGAGGAGGTGACCGTCTTCATCCTGACCTTCGAGGGTGATCGAATCATGGCGCGGGAGATGCAGGGGACGGCCGGAGCTCGAGCACCTCTCACGGCCGCACACGGCACACGGCCCCGGGTCCCATCTCCCCCGGCGTGCGCCGCTTGGCAGAATGTACGTTTAAGGGTTGGACTAGCGTGGCGGGGCGGATCGCGCACTAAAGATCAATCCGCATCGAATCGAGAAATCGGATCGAGTCGGAATGTGCGTCGCGTCGGGCCGCATCGGCACTGAGTCGAAAACGAATGGGATCGGCCGCGCCAGGATGCACAACGGCGCAGCGCAAGCGTAAGGCCGCATCGGACCGTCGGAGTATCGGAATCGGCTCGGATCGAGCTGGCCGGAATCAACATCGAAACGGATGTATCCGAACGAAGTGGACCCTGATCGCGTGGAGGGGGAGCGGGATGGGTCTGCTCGACGCGGGGAGCGGGTGGACTGAATCGAGCTCGTCGCCGCCAGGCGAGTCCATCGGAGATCCAAGAAATCCCCGCGGACCCTCGAAAATTCATGTTCATGCCATCCCAGACATCCAGCTGCTCCAATTTATTCGATGCGTAGGCCCCGGAGGTCTGGACCACTTCTCTGGGTGGACTGAATCGCGCGGGTTGCGATTTCGGCGCGCGCGGGGAGTCGCTGGCCCGGCAGCGCGGAGCAGGCAGGCAAAACCGTGTCAGAGCGTGCGCAGGAAGGGCGCGAGGCTGGCAGCAGCCACGGGGAAGATCGAGAGGAATAGGGAGGCACGGAGCAGACCGCCAGAAGGGACGAGAGGGAGAGGTAGGACGACGGCACCATGCGGGCAGAATCGGGTTCGGCACCAGAGCCAGAGCGATCCGGACTGCTCTGAGAAGGCTCTGGAACGCTCTCGAGCGATGCTGTCCTCATCCTGAAGCAGACGCATGAGATCAGAATTCTTGCTGCAAGAACTGTGGGCACATCCCTTGCCGACCTTGAGCTTCGCAGGGTGCCCCAGGGTCTCTGGGACCATGGGATGATAAAAGTGTGCAACCACGTGTGAACCCTACAGTCGGAACCCTGACGAAGGAACCCTTTTCGTTGGGGAGGGGCTCCGTGTTCCTTGATGGTTTCACAGCTTCCCTTAGGTTTTCCTTGGGTTTTCGATGGGAAATCGAACTTTAACTGATGGGAAAAGGGGCCTCGTTCCCTATTTAGGGTTCCTTAGGTCAACGCCCCGACTGTACCCCAAAAGGCCAGATGTCCGAAGCATCGGCTGGGCTTCAGATTTCGCAGGACGTCTGCAGCCCAGCGGGGGCAGCCGATGTGCCTCAGTGCCGATCGGAGCCGCAGGGGGAGGTGTCGGCGCACAGAGGGTCTTGCGCAAGGGGGTCGTACCCATCGTGCTTCTTTTGCGCCTCCTCCTCCTCCTCCTCCTCCTCCTCCTCCTCCTCCTCCTCCTGCACAAGCATGCGCGCGCGGATCCAGTCCCGAGGGCACGCGCACGGGCCCCCACCCGGGGCGCACAGCCGTCCCCCCGGCACGGGGCCTCCGCGCAGGGCTCGCGCGAGTGCCCTGTCTGCTCGAGGTGCCAGGGTGCCCGCACGCGGTCGCAGCAGCAGCTCGTGGAGCATCCCAGGGGGGGGGGGGGGGGGCCTCGTGCCCGGGCGCGCCCGCGGTGGGCCTGCCCGAGGGGGCGGCGAGATCTGCGCGGTGTCCGCTGCTCCCTCGGCGGGCCCGGCCCGCACGCAGCGGCGGTGCAGCACGCCACGACGCCCTCCCGGCCTGGCCAGGAGGGCGCACACGCGGCTCCTGGGTGCAGGACTGAGGGGCAACGATGGGGGGGGGGATAGGGGTGGGGGGGTGCATCGATCTGGGATCGGCGAGACGTCGTCAACAGATCGGCGATGGGCCTCGGATGATGGATCCGCACCTTCCTGGGCGGGGTGGGGCTGTCGGGCCCCCATCGGCGATCAATGGGCAATTGGGAGTCGATGCATCCCCCCCTATGCCTATCCCCCCTATCGTTGCCCCCGAAGGATGGGCCTGGCCCTGGAGCAGCGGATGCGTACTCAAAGATCTCGCCGCGCGACCCGAGGAGTATGCTGCTCCCACCGCGCTCAAGGACCACATCCCAGAGACAAGTTCGAGCACCCGGAAGAGTGTCGAAACGGTGCCGAAACAGTGTCGGGCGAGCTTCTCCCAGGGCCCGACGCGCGAAAACCCTTGCGCTTCGGTATTTTTGCTGGTGTTCGCAGTCCCTTCTGGTGGCCAAGGATAGAGCAGGCTAGAGCATCCTAAGCCGAGGAGGGAGGGGGGCTCGGTGCGCCGAAGGGGGCAAAGGCCAGGCGCAGGGGCGACGCGCCTCGTTGGCCCGCGGCGCGTGCGCGGGCGAGGGGGGGTCCCCAGGGGACGTGTGGAGGGCAGGTGGGCGGCGGGCGACATCCAGGCCCCGCCTCCCACCGGCCACCGGTGTTCCTGGATGGCTGGGAGGCGGGGGCCCCAAGATCCGACGCTCCCAAAAGCTGGAGGCGGGGGCCCCAAAATCCGAAGCGCCCAAAAGTTGGAGCAGGCGGGTGTGGGCCGTTTTTTCGGCCTCCGGGGGGCCCTCGCCAGCCGCCAGGAGCGGCAAGCAACGGTTCAGTCTGGACCTCGGGGGCCCACGCATCGAAAGAGTTGGAGCAGCTGGATGTCTGGGGGTGGGGTTCGGATTTCGCCACGTGTTCGGCGAATTCCGAACCCTGCCCCCGCCGCCCATCGGGATGCCTGAAATCGTCGATCGGCGAGGGTGGGGCTCGGTTTTGTTGCCGCCGAGAAGACGAGGGGGCCATGAAAGCTGGGAGATCTCACGGCTGCGACCATGATCTCCCCACACACTCCAAATTCTCGCCCCCCTTGGACGCTCGGAAGGCTTGGCTCAGGGGGGGCGACGGCGACTCCACGAGCGGGACCTCGGCGTATCCAAACATTTGGCCGACTCTGCGAATCCTGGGAAGCAGGCGTGAGAGGACAACGGAGAGCCCAAGGAGAAATGAGCAGGCCATCGGCGAACACAGCTGGACTGTGAAACAATTGTCGTTTGCAATCTCTGCGCGCCGACGCCCGCCAACGTCACACTCTCTCACACACACACACACTTACGTCGGCGGCTGGGCAGAGGTCGACTGCTCCAGCGGGGTGGCAGCAGGGGACACGCTGCATGCAAATTGAGGCCGCGATGCAAGAGAGGAGGAGCAGGAGGAGGAGGAGGAGGAGCCTCACACTAACACACACACACACACACTAACACACTAACACACTAACACATATACACACACACACACACACACGCACGCACGCACGCACGCACGCACGCACGCACGCACGCACGCACGCAAACACACACACACACACACACACACACACACACACACACACACACGCACACACACACACACTTTTCGGCGGTTTCGGCCTCGCGCGCAGCGACGACGCGGACACACACACACACACACAGTGCCGACACGCTTCCTCACACAAAGCCTCTGCGTGCCGGCGGGTATCGGCGAGGGGAGCGTGCTGCGCTGCTGCGAGTCCAGGTCGCCATCGCCAGATCCAGCCGTGCTCGCCGATGGTGTGCGGCAGGTTCGTGCCGTGGCGACTTCTGCACGCTGGTCTCTGACACCACGCGGACCGTTCAATCTTAGGAGGAGGAGGAGGAGGAGGAGGAGGAGAAGGAGGAGTTCGAGGAGGAGGAGGAGGAGGAAGGAGGAGGAGGAGGAGGAGGAGGAGGAGGGCGAGGAGGGAGGGAGAGGAGGAGGAGGAGGAGGAGGAGGAGGAGGAGGAGGAGGAGGAGGAGGAGGAGGAGGAGGAGGAGGAGGGAGGGAGGAGGAGGAGGAGGAGGAGGAGGAGGAGGAAGAGAAGGAGGAGGAGGAGGAGGAGGAGGAGGAGGAGGAGGGAGGAGGGAGGAGGAGGAGGAGGAGGAGCTGAACGATCGCGGCTCTCCGAGGGCGCAGATCCTTCGATATCGGCCGAGTCCGGGCCACTTGCGGCGTTCACTAATTGACGCCGGGGTCGCCGCCGAGTCAACGCGGCGCGGAACCTGCCGCAGAGAGGGAGACCAAGAGATGACAAGGCGAGGAGGACCTCTGGAGGTCCCCCTGGGAGCCTCCTGGGGCGTCCTGCCTTGGGGGCGCCTCTTGGAGGGTTCTTGGAAACTCCTGGGGGGGGGGCATGTTGGAACCTTCTGAAACGTCTCGGGCTCTTGAGGCCCTCTCGACGGCCTCTCGAGTAGTTCGGGGCCTCTTGGGACTTTGGGAGAGCCTCGCAAGGCCGCTCGGAGCGCTTCTGTGAGGCCCCTGGGGTCAGTCATCTTAAGGTCGTCTTGGGGGGCTCTGATACACAGGCCTCGTGGAGCATCGTTTCGGCTTTCTGAAGGCCTCTTGGCCCTCTAGAGGTTCATCGAACGTGTGACGATCGGAACAACCTCCGAGGACGAGAAAACAAGAAACCGTGTGTGCCACCGTGGACCCCAAACATTAGTTCCTTGCATGGTGGATGTTCAACCTCTGTGGTACAATATATGTGGTGCAAGCTGTGGTCAAATGTCTTACATCTCTATATATATATACACAGAGAGAGACATCTGTATACGCGTATACAAAATATGTCTGAACCTGCATATGTACATACACGTCTACACATGATGCACACCAGGTGGTGCCATGTGTGTGTGTGGTGCAAGCTGTGTGGCGCAAGCTGTGCAGTGCAAGCTATGTGATGTGGGCTGTGTAGAGTAAGCTGTGCGGTGCAACCTATGTGGTGTTACGTAGCTTGATTGTTTGGGCCATGATGTGCAATCCCACCAGCCCTCTGAGCGCGAGTGGTTCAGAGCCTTTCCACTTCCATCTTCCCAGTCTTCCCCCCTCGGGGAAGA